CCCCCGAGGCCCCCCGCTCTGCACTCAGTCGTCTATTAAGAATTTAAAGGAGAAGATGTCGATGTAGGACAGACGGCGGCTCCAGCGGAGAGGGGAAGAACGGCTCCCATCCATTGTCTGGGGGCTGGCGCCACTTTGATCACACCAGTAAGGGCCCGGTCCACACCCCCCCCGAGTCACCTAATCATGTTAGGGCCATCGGCAGCACTGGGCTACATTTTAGTGCTCCGAGTTATATATGACCTCTGACACTTTTAATTATGCATTACTGAGGGTTATCCTGTGTTGACGGTCTGATTAAAATGCACTCCGAATAAGCCATGTAAATCATTAGCCTGGCCCTCCCAGTGCTCGCGTTTGATCTGCTCTCCTCTTAGCTTCTCACAGTCCCAGTGTGGCGCTCAGCTCTCACTCCCATGCTAACCAACGCCACTTTGGACAAAAGTGTGTGCAAGATAAAGAAATGTAAATGATCCCGTATTGCATATTTTGATGCATAATGCCATAGAGCTCAGTGTCCTTTTCTATGTGCAATCATGACTCTGCTATTCTTCTTTCAAAGGGTAGCTCGACATTTTCTGCCGGGCTGAAGCACCTTCGGCTAGCAGGTAAACTTACCGCTAATGATATAGTGACATTCTGCAATTCTAAACAGAGAAATAAGTGGGTCATTTATCACCCTCATAGTGTTTGTGCCACATCTTTCACGTGCCCCGTTCTGGTATAGCGCCAAATCTACCACTAACCACGAACCACGGGAAACAGTTTAATACATTTCTCTGTTTAATCCTCCCTTTATGAGATAGCAAGTCATTCTGCATTAACATTCATAAGAAATCCTCCTGTCAAATTAAAATTAGCAGAGTTTCAAAGCCTTTAGAACCATCCAGGAACGTTTTCGTTTACCTCTTTTAATCCCGTTCGACTGTATATTAATCACAGCAGTGATGCTGGATTTACTGCACTGCAGTGTTAATCTAAAAAAAATAAGACGGCATGCACGATTCTTATTTTCACTAGGCGAGCATCCTGAGGCCCGCGGGGAAAGGGGGGGCGTCTCAATGTGCGAATCTGGCTGCGTCGTGTCCGAGCGCGCAGCCTCCCGCGTTGCCGTCACGCGCTGACAGCTGCTTTAGCGCCCGCGCTCCCGCCACATGGCGCTAAAATGCACCCGCTTGTCAAAATTCTACTTCAAACGAGAAACTGGAGTATCTTGTTTTCACGCCTGGCTTAACGGATCACGAGGGCATACGGTTCTGCGTCTACGTCGGATCAAACTGCTCAGCTGCTCCCCGGGAAGAGCTGACAGTTTTTAGGATCTGTTTACAGGATTATCTCCGTCACTTTAATTCTGCCAATTCCATTTAACCCTCCCGTACAGAATTAACGTCATAATCACCTTTACCATAATAAAATTGGTGGATTGATGGAGAGATTTAAACTGGACCTATCAGAGCCTATCTGTGTGCAATTTTCATGTTAAAATGGGAACGCGGGGAATGGCGTGGCTGAAAACCGCCAGCCTAAGATCCTACACGTGTGAAAACCGCGATTAGTTACTCCATGCTTCCGCGGAATGAAGAATGTGCAATTCAAGAATACAGAACTGCAAGTACGGAACATTTTACAATGCGAAGCGCTACGATGTGAATACTAGAATGTTGAGTTATATAGCAGAATTTAGAATTCTACAAACGTTTTCCATTTCTTTTATGTCTGAAGATCACGTTTCAGATGGTTTAATATGGAAGAATAGGGCACTGCCTTGACAGTTCTCTAACATCGCAACTGCAAATACATATTGGATGAGAGAACTTAACAAATCAACAGCCCGGTTTGGAGATGCAGAAAATTGGGTGCTACTGCGGCAGCGGGGCTGCGTGTAAATGTCTCAATATCTGAGACCCTGGTGTTCTTCAGCATCCACGATGGTTGACAGCAGCAGGGTTTCAGCGATGATATGAACCTGTGGCAGATGACTCCTTCATCAGACACTACCACGGTTTCTGCTGTCCTACTCACACACACTGGCAAGTCCATCTTCACCCTCCACCCAAGTGTAAATTCTTTTTTCTTTCTTTATAAAGGAGCCTTTTCCCAGCACAACAGATACATACAGCCAGCCAAGAACAGAAATGCTCCCTGAAATAATCAGATAGCTAGCCGCCATCTACTGCCCCCTATCTATGCAGCTGGGAACAGCCCCATTAAATTTCCTCTGTCGCGCCATATTCCTGTCACTCAAATTACGCTGAATATTACGACCGTGGCCGAGGGTAATATGGCAGCTGGTGATCAGTGAGATTAAACCCTAAGCACTTATTGTAATAAGTATTAATTGAAGTTGATTGATAATTGAGAAAGTAAAAGAGAGTGCAAAACCTGCATTCCAGCTCAAAAAGGAACTTCATGAAGTCTTTCTTGGTGAAGTAACACTGTACCCAGGGACAGCGAGTAGCCTGGTCTTGAGTTATTTTCCCAACCCTTAGTACCCTTTTAAATGGCTACGCAACAATTTAGAGCTGTTAGAACCTGCTGACCAATCACATCACAGTTCTAAAGCAGCCAATGACTGCTCTCGTTCTATAAGCCTTTTCTGTTAGTGCTATCAATTGTAAGGGGATTAGAGAGTGATATGGGAAATTCATTGCTGTGTGTGTGTATTAGGTTTATATTACATTGTGGGGACCAAATGTCCCCCACTATATAATAAAAACCAGTTACTTTGACATTCTGGCCCCACAAAGGGACCAGATAAAATAAGTCAAAAAACTAAAAATACCAAAAGTCTCGTATTTGGTTTGATTACTTCTAGTTAAGGTTAGGGCTGGGTAGGGGTTTAGGGTCATCATATTTAGGTTTAGGGTTATGTCCATAGAAATTAATGGAGAGTCCCCACAATGACAGGAATATATGAACTGTGCGTGTGTAAGTATGTTTGTTACAACCTGGAGACTTTAAAAATGTCAACCTTCTGTAGTAGCAGGAACTACTGGCAGGAGCTGTTGTGTTTATCGAACCTTTTAAAAGGTTATGGTAACATTTTCATCCTAAAATATCAACAGAGCCATTCCTTCCTGAACTATACTTCATCTTAGTGGCGTGCATTAACAGAAAACCCTTTGAATGAAGTGCTTTTGTGCTGCAGACGCATTAGACAGTTAATGGCCTGAGTCAGTGTGACAATGTGTGTGGTCTGCATCCGCTGCTGGATGGCGCTACTGTCCCCTTTTGGGGTGTGAGGGGACTGGGGCCCCTTTAGAGACCCGATTACTCTATCGGGGCCCCTCACAGACCGCCAGGGTGCCGCTGAGGCTGGCCAATGAGGGAGCGGAGCTTTCTGCTGTCAAACGATGTCTGTCCGTCGCCATGGAAGCGACCGTTGTTATGGGATGGGAAGCAGGGAGATTAAAGTGAATTACGGTCCCCAGAACGTAGCGACGGCAGGAGGCAGTGAGAAATACTTCAGATTGCTGGCAAAGGAAGGAGAAGATTCATCAGGCAGCAAGTAACACCCATCAGTCTGTCAGCCAATATACTGTAATATACTGTATACCTAATGCGACTTTGCAGATAGGTGTACGTGTGCAGTGTCCGTCTAAGGATCCTGTGTTTGCACTCTGGCATTTATGCACAATCACGGTGGGGAATTTTGAATTCCAAATTCAGCACGACCATTACTTCATTCTTTATTGATATATTCAGAAAATAATGGCAAATAATTGTAAACACACATATGCATATGCACCATATTAAATATTGTGCTGTAATCTCTACAGCCCCCAAATGCTTGTGAAACAAATACGTGAAATCACAACAGGATTCTTAAAATCCACAGGGTCGAAAATCACAGCGTTATACAATGATTGCTTGTGTGGTCCAGGCCACGATCCATATCTAATCCACCAGCAATGACTGGGCTCACCATTCAGCACCGGAAGGGTATGTGTTCACACCCAATCGCGGGAGTGGCTGTTGTTCCTTTGAGAGCATTTCTAAGTCGCTTCTAAAGCACCCAGCAGCAAACTGCGGTCTAATTAATAAACACAGGCACGGATTTTACCAGGAAACGTAATTAAATAAATTTAACTTGGCATTTAATTGGAAAACCGTCAGGACACATCATGCGGATTAGTATTTCGGAATACCCCTCCTCCAGTCGAGCAAATAACTCTGAAGCACGGAAGACGTGTTACCAGCAAAGCATCACTCTGATCCCTCCCTGTCCAGCAGCCACGGGACCAAACGTTGGTGTGTCCAATCAGGGCTGCTGCTATAGATTTTTGGCCCCATGAAAGCATATCAAATTGGGCCCCCTACCCAGGCCAATCCAATTATGTTCCAAATTTTTGAGGGCCCCTGTCACGCAGAGGCCCTTGGAATCATCCTGACTTTCCTCTGCTTTTTGGTGCCCCTGCGTGAGACATAACCACTGCATTCTGGGCCATAGTGGTATCACTCTTTTGATCCTTTGAACAGATGATCTGGAGAGTCTTTGGAATTTGACATAGACTCTGAGAACCGTAAACTGTACAGCAGAGGCGGAGATTTCAGGTCCAGGGAGTACAAATCCAGACCAAGATTTTGTTTCAACCAACCAGAGGAGTCTTCAACTGGTTGGTTGAAACAAAATCTTGGTCTGGATTTGTACTCCATGGACCTGACATCTCCGCCTCTGCTGTACAGGGCATATAGTGAATAATAAATTGAAATACATATCTGCCAGGACTCTGGAGAGTAATACAGCATGTGCCTGCATGTCCGCCAGTCACATGATTCAGGTCACATGTACCCAGTCACATGACACGAGTCTGTTTTCACAAAAAATACCTTGCTACTCTCTGAGGGATGAGCCTCTGCATGTTCCTCTGGGGAGCGCAGCTGCTGGTGACATAATGCTTAAGGTTTCACCCAGGTAAATTTCCTTGTATTTCTGAATCGTTGTTGTTCAATTCCGCGAAGCCATGCGTAAATGTTTTGGCAGAATATCCTGATTAGACTAGGCCATGTCTGTATGACTCTGTGCACCAATAAAAATAATAAAAATTATCTTTAAAAAAAGTATCGGGGGGGGGGGCAGTTCAGTAATTGGTTATGCAAGCAGAACCGGTAGCCCATGCCTGTAGCACGAATCACAACTCACTGTAAGACCACAATCACTTTCTAAACTCTAACCCGTAAATCCCACCTCACGAAGGACCGTGTGCCCATAAGGGCCCTAAATTTACCCCCTGCTGTAATTCCTGTTGTCTCAACTGACAGCTGTGTAATGACACAGAAGCCTGTGCAGATATGTGGACGACAGAGGAGTCATGGGTCACCGGCCAAATCCGCAAAGCCTCCAGTCCTCACGGCCAATCGGATTGCTCCTCCTCAGCGTCTCTGCCTCACCACGTCACTGCTACTCCAGGTCTACAGCACTTTCAAATCCCAACCTCCTGCAAAGCTAATAGCCCAGCCACAGCCTGATTATGCTGTAAGAAACAAGGTAAAGTGTCCTGCCATACAGCCCTGAATGATATATGTATATATTTGGTTAATGTTCGCAGATGTGCAGACTGTACTCAAGTCCCCAGCACATCTGTACGTGGTTCACATCTGCACACATCTGGGCTCTGTGTCTCTACACATATCGAGAACAGCCCAGAAAACTGAAAAAAGTTCCAGATATAAAAACAAAACTAGAACGAGGACTTCTAAATTTGGACCCTATGTTTCCATTTTAATATGAAAATTGCACACAGATCGACTCAATTAATAACATTTTTCACTTGGTTAAGGTTTTTTTTTTTCGGCAACCTGTTATTTCCATCTGATAGGACATCTGTTGTCATGACGAAGCCACAGCATCACGGTGACATGTGGTGGGAGGGGCGTGCCAGCGGCGGGCGCCAGCATCAGCGGCGCGTGAAAGCTAAGCGGAGCCAACGGCGGGCGCCACCCGCCACGCGCTCCACTCGCTGCGGCCGCGAGCCCACGGCGACGAGCATCGCGGCCAGGACACCTGAAGAACACGTGCAATGGGATAGGGGCTGCATTAGCAACGTGCTGCATCAGTGTGTAATAGCTAGAAAACCAGCCCTGCCTCCCGTTACACACTCATATTAAATCCACAATCGCCGCCCTGTGCATCCTTTGACTGTACCTGGACCAACATAACTCAGGTCAAGTGGTTGTTGGAGATAGACGGATGATCAGTATTTTATTAGCAGATCAAGTGCATAACAGCTGAGCAGCAGACTGTAAAAGATCAGCCCATCGCTCCTTATCCCAAGAGCGGCAGATGGAGTAACGGTCAAAAGCTGGTCCAAATGCTTGTTCAACTCTGACGTCCATAAGCAGGATCCTTCCCAGTTAAAATTAATAGGTCACCCACACAACCATGTTTAACCTCGTAGAAGATTGTCTATTTACCTTAAGCTGTCTTCAAAAAGGGATTTCTGGCTGTCTTCCGCGAACACCATATCTTACTGTTAAATTACTATTTAAAAATGATCCCGTCAGGCCGGGTGCTTTGGACCGTCCCCACACTGTGCCGGGGGCAGTTCGGCGCGCAGACTCATTGTGCTGCATCCGAACCGCTGCTCGGCTCGGCTCACAGGCTTTTCCCTACATCGACATCCGGCTTAGTTTACTTTCCACCTTCTGCGAGGGACATGAACTTTCCATGAGTCAGCCGCAGCCGCTGAATAATCCACGACCTGTTGTTAATTTTTATCACTTTTGCAAACACTTCGGTATTCACAATAGTTTTTTTCCCTGTGTGTCCTTGATCCCCACTGGCCCAAACGCGCTAATTTACTCCACATTAAGATTTGTGCAGCCGAGGGATCAATCTGGGCTACGGTGCCGATGCGTCACGGTCCATATACCTTTTAGTAATATTGTTTATACCCTATGTCCCCTCTCTTCAGCTATATGTTGTGGATGGACACTGTCCAGATGGTGCCGCACCTATCCGTGAGCAGCCCCTCTCATAGTGAACTTACGTGGTTGGGACAAACCCAGCCGGCCGCCATGCAGGATATCCCGGGAAATCACCACAAAGCGCGTATTTACACACAGGGGAACGATTGCGGGGACCGCGGTTCACACCCCGCTTCTCATTAATCCACCAAAGCGTTTCGGCTTTTAAAAGATGGCGTTTTCCCATCGCCTGTTAGTAGAAGCCATGTTCTAAAAGTATAAACCATCCCGTAAATTACACAGCCTATTACCCACAATGCGCTAATCTCAGTTTTGTACTAGGGAATCATTTAAAGTGATCTTTCCATTGCACAATGAAAACAAACCATCCTGAACAAAAAAAAAAAAAAACTCACAAAATATTTCAATTTGTCACAACGTTCAGTACGTGAACTTTTAATAAATATTATAAATACAGCAGTGGGAATTGTTGTACGCCTGACCCGTCTTTGAACCTAATTTAATAAAGTTGAGGGACTGCTCCAGAAAATCTAGGATTTTTTTCTCCACAGAATGATATCTATTAATATCTAACTGGAGTCATTTCAAATTAACGGGGTCGGATCATCTGAGCCCAGAGATCAAGCGGCAAGTTCACCATGAGAGCTGCCCTACGGCCGTTTTCCGCCGCCAGGTAACAACTCGGGCATTTTAATTATTCTGCTGCGCTATGGAATCAAACGGGACAAATCCAGGCGGGTGTTGGTTTTTTTTTAATAAACCCGGGTATCAATTCTTAAAGTCATATTCTGTTTTTCAAAAAGTGGACAATTTTCCGCATAAATCCGCCAACGTCCCTTCCATCTGCGGACGGTGTCTCACGGTGCGACACCTTACACACGGAGGATTTGTGCCCGATTAGCAGAATCAGAGAATGTGAGGACGGGACAGCGAGCCGAGGGGCTCCGGCGCAGCGCATGAATTGCTGCAGTACAGTATGTCATGCATCTGCATCCGCAAGAAAGTGATACCTGTCACTACACCCGACAGCCAGACCGAAAAACAAACTTCTCCACTAACATTCACCAACTTACACCACGGCAGATTAAAAATGAACACATACTGAAAATCCCAAGGCTCAAATTCATAAAGGAACCAGAAGCGCATGGGGACCGCTAACATTTCTCGGTTTATGGTGAACCACCACTAGCACTTAACTAGTATTGCATGGTGTTTCCCGGCCCTTTAAGGTATAAATCAAACGCTTACCTCGCTCATGCTTTTAAAGGGGTTTTTGCACGGGTGCGGCACAACACGACACGGTAGGATCTGAGGATTTCACAGCTCGTTGGTTGCCCACCGCCGGTTTGCAGTCCACACTTTGCGATCTGGCCAAGCAAACGGCTTTATAGAGTTCGGGGAGCAACTCCTCAATGTCATCACATTCCCACTAAACCAATGGGAAAGGCAATCGGCGAGGCTCCCTCGCAAGTTACCACCCAAAGCCTGTGCGAGAGGGCGAGAGTCGCTTTCAGTTCAAGTCGTGTGAAAAGCACGGCATAGGAGCACAAATGCATCATTAACGATGCAGTATGAGAGTGTTCGCGGGGATCTGTAATCTGATTTAAGTGCAGTATTTACTTTCCCACATTTCTCCACGTTTTTTTTTTTTAAATGTTTCTTCGGGTGGGGTTTCCTGTCCCGACCGAGGATATCTGTGTGTAGGGGCTCTGCGGTATATACACGGTACTCTGCGGTACACTCAGGCTGGGGTCCCGGGTCGCATATTCCCTTTTACGCCGCTTTTGTGGACAAACTCCGCTGTCCCACTACGTGTGCTGCATGAAAGTCTAATGTTACGTAAACATTCTCGTATGATGCGGAGAAATCGTGATGGGAATACAGGTGTACTAATATGGTCTAATTATTAGCAATAATAAAACGCGCAGACCTATCCTCTATCTGCAAAAAAAACAAAACAAAATACGTATTCCAAATTTCAACTTTTTAAATTTTTGGTGTTTTTTTCTAACTAAGATTAAAACGACAAGACAATCCCATCCTTAATACAAACACCCGACCGGCTCAGCATCAGCTGTTGGGCATATGCAGGAGGGCGCAGAGAAGCGGGCGTAACCGCGACGTTGGCTGGGGACTCGCACCGCATGGTCCGCCGGGGACCTGGCGGGATTGATTTCAGCCTGGATTGATAGTTCCGGCCGCGGTAACCCGGTGTATTCCACAGTCACCGCCACGAGGCAAGGGGACGACACGTGGAGTTTCATCGAATAAAGTGATCAATAAGCATTACTTGATTACTTAAGGCAGTTCACCATGTTGGACTTTACATAAATACGTTTTTACAAGAGTGATGCTCTCCTAATATTAATTATTGATCTAACATTTGCCATGCAGAAAACAGGGCGATTGCTCATAAAAAAAAGCATCAGAGAGCGATTTCTGCTATTGTTCTATTTCACGCCCTGGGCAGGGACTTACGTGCGATGCTTAGTTTCATTGAACAGTGTACACAACATGACAATAACCATATTCTATTCTACCGGATTGCCATATAAATGTTCAGAAGACGTGAGAGTTATTACAGAACTGGAAAGATGTGTCAGTGTCTTCCAATAGGCTGAAGCTTCAAGAATGTGTTTACCAGTGAGAGTACATCCTCATCTAGGAGCAATGGTGAGCTGAAGGTGGAAGAATCACTGTTCACAAGCTTACCAGGCCTTATTTAGACTGTGCTACACCGTCAGACATACGTTTCACCAGAATCAGTCACAGTCAAACCAAGGTATCTCTCCTCCAACCATATACAGTATAGGCCGTACACACGGGCGGGTGTGTTGTCTCTGGGGCCCCACTAAAATACTTTGAGGCCCCCTGTAGTGTAATGACTGTTTCTGGCCAACAGGGGGCCTCCAAACCTCAGTTGCCCCATGCAAATGCGTGGTTGGAAAGGCAGCGAACAGTGCCACTGGCTATTGATGGTGATTAAGATTCACACCACTGAGAGCCTGGCATCAGCAACAGAAGCATCTAGTGCTTTCATATTAGAGGCAAATTTACTGACTCTCTCGGAGGTCCAAAATTCATACCGCATATCCTGTTGCCATGCAACCAACCCTGTCCCTTGGAAGGTCTTTTGCCCCATGACATGGGTGCGGTCAACGGGGAAGGAGGTGTTTCCCAGTGATTCGAGGAGCATGAGGCGGAGTTCGTCGCAAACAGCCGTCCCAGAGAAGAGTGCAGAGTAATGTCAGGCATTCTCGGAGTGGAGGTGGTTATCCCTCCGTCACACTGTGAGAGTTCGCGGGTTTCTCTGTGAAACAACCAAACAACACAGAAGTAATTAGCGCCCCGGGGGATTCTGGGTAATTTCTTGGTCAAGAGTAAAGCGGGGGGGACCCCAGCTGGGAATGGACATGTCTTCGGGGTATGAGTCTGCGTCCATAAGCAGCTTACAACCTCCTCTGATGGCTTCCTGCCTCAGGATTGGTCGTGAGAGTCGAGCGCACGTCTGCGTGACTCTGCTCCGGCTGCCGTTTACATATGATGGCTCGGGCCGCGTATCCAGGCGCCCAGAACGAGCCCGTGAGGAATGCGAGGTGAGACCCAGCGGATAAACAATGGAGACCTCTGCAGAGGTCCTCTGCTTTTGCTCAAACTTGGGGAGGGGGGGGACGGTTGGGCGATCTAACGCGACCCATTCTATTTGATTAATATAGATTGTATTTGGCTCCAGGGGACTTTGATTGTGGATTTCCAACATGGACTTGATTGTGAGTTTAGCAAACTGAAAGTATCTGCCAGATATCCTGTCATGGTCCGCTAACAGCTGGCCTACAGGACCTAAAGTGTGTATGTTCTCTGAGTCTTAATTGCTCATGTCCTTGACTGAGGGTGAAAAGCTGAAAAGGCAAAATAATTAGGTTCCATCCATCCATCCATCCATCCATCCATCCATCTATCCTTAGACCACTTCTCCTGGTCTAAGGATCTTTTGATATAGTACATTACAGCATTTCTCGAGAGCAGTTCGGGGCGAAAGCGTAAACGTCAAACCGTTGCAGCTGTGAGACCTCCGCAGAATGCCTGAAGCAGGACCCGCCCCCTAACGAGCTCAGCCCAGTGTTTACGTCGCCCGGCACTAATTAAGCACCACGCACGCCGTCTTCGGCTTCTTGGAGTCTCCGTGTCTCCGTCTGCTTCCGCCAAGTTCGTTCAGAACCTCGGCCCCATTCTCCAGACCTCTGCCCCCCCCTAACCCAAAGCTCCCTGGGTCATGTGACTCCAGGGTCGCCACCATCCCCCATCACATGACCACCGATGGTCCATTTCTGAGTCCGGGCCTCAGCTCTCTAACGCTGTTAAATATTTATACCCTGTAAATATACGCTGGGCTCCTTTGGCAGGAATCACATTTGCTAACATATATCCACTCAGTCATTCTAGCCTGGATCCTATCTTCATGCAATGCTGGTACTGCTGCTGCCCACAGATCCGGCCTTTATTGCCATTTGCACTATTATTGCCCATTATTTATCATTATTTATTACTCTGATATTTATTATTCACTCATTCATACTATTTATGTGCAGCTCTGCTGCTTCCATCATCGTTTAAATTCTAAACATTCCAACATAGTTTACATTTGAATTGTGTGTCAGTGCAGTTGGGTTCTTTTTTTCCCCGCACTTGTTCTGTCCATCTTTGTACTTCACGTATATATTTAGCATCGTAGTCGTGAGAAACATTGTGCTGTGTTACTGTATATGGTTGGTATGACAATAAAGCCCCACTTTGACTTGAGTTGATTTATGCTTCTGCGCCGTGTGAGAAATCTGCGCTGTGCCTTTAAGTGAGGCCGGCTCCTTAGAGTGCCGGAGTCATTCTGGATTGACAAACCTGCGTCGTTCGATGAGATATTTACTACCCAAACCCCCGGATCTGCTTCGCCATAATAAATGCGCTCTGGTTCTGATCTAAACTGACCCGCTGGACCCGAGGCCTCACTCTGATTAATTAATGCTAACGATAAAGTAATCATTGGGGTCAGTCCATCCGTCTTCTTTAGGGGCCTCAGTGCTTAGATCACGCCAGCCTCCACTCACCACTGTTTGAGCGTGAAGAGATTTAGTGTCGCTAAGCTGCCCTCGCACGGCAGCGGCGAGACCCTGGGACGTGCTCGCCGTCTCCCCGTGCCAATGGGCCGCCGGTACTGCTACCGCGGCTAACGGGTTCTGCCGCGTGGCGGACGGGGCAGTGATAATTAAATCGAAGTCCCAGTCACCCAAAGTGCTGACTGAGGGCAGAAATGCCCCATTTTCATTTCGCTGCTTCTGGTCAGTCCTGTCACACTCGTATGTTGGTGATCGATGCCAGCTGCACTAGGAGAGGTCCGCCTGGTGTGCAGAATGCCAACCCACCTCGGCTACATCTAATCTCACTGTGGGCACCATGGTGGGAATCAGGGCAGGCCTTCAACTGGTCCGCTGACATCTTCATCGTTACCTTCTTCCTATAGCCAAACTCCTTCAAATCCTGGTCACCAGCGTCCCACAGTAATGCTGTGTTTTGGGGGTGTAAATAATGACTAGCAGCGCTCTGCAGTTCTCAGGAAGCCTTGTTGCATCACCATCTCCATAGCAACGGGGTTAATGGCAAATTCATGGGCAATTAAGAACTGCTCTTTAAAATAAACTTTACAGATTGCAGAATGACAAGGGCAACAATACGTCAATAAATGTTGATAAATCCTTCTTTTCATGGATGCCATGCCCAAATCATAACAGAAATATCTCCTGGTGAGGTCAGAAACTCTTTTCTCGTGCGAGTGTGTAGTTTGATTTCTTGTGGTATGCAGATATAGTACAGCTATGAACAACATCCACATAAATAAACAGCCTGTTTTGGATGGAATTCCCCTAGCTGTTAGCAGATTGGACATAAATTTGCTGCACAGGCAATATTGTAAACAGATAGTGATAGAGCGGTAATTAATCTAAATCAAGCTCTGCGGTCCCTTCTCAGGATGCAGTCACAGTGAAACCACAAGCATTAGTTCATACTTTGACAATGGAACCTGCCAAGACATCAGTGGGGGTTCCAGAGAAAGATCTTGGTCCTTGATTAGAGAAAAATCCTACCGACCGATTGAGGCACTATCCATATTTATAACCAACGCCCCGCATGAACTCCTGTGTGACTGAGTGAGTGGGCTATTGAGCCGTCAGCCATATTTGTTTGGGGGGTGAGTGGGGGGGGGGGCGTAATTGCTGACTGAGTCGTCAGCAATTCCCCGTACGACACCCGTCTGAATTCTTTGTGCTTTCGCTAAACTCACAAATCGATACGGGTGCCCCCTCAGGGGCTGGACCGCGAGCCCACTGGAGAACGGGATCCTGCGGGTTTGCCGCCCCAAGCC